CTCCACATAATAATAGAATAGTTACCAAATATTTGGATGATACTTTTAATGAGGAATGGATTGGAAATAAGGATCCAATACCATGGCCAGCTCGAAGTCCTGATATTACTCCACTAGTTTTTTTATGGGAATATATCAAAGACTTAGTTTATATGCGACGTACACAAAATGTAGAGGATTTGAAAAATAGTATCACAAATGTTTGTGCTTCCATAACGCGAAACGCGAGAGACGCTTTTAGCTGTCACGAATCGGGAATTACTAAAAAGATGCAATATGTGTATTTTACGTGAAGGGAGGCAGTTCGAACACTTACTAAAATGATTCTTGTTATCACTAATTGATTCATGTATCATCATGTTAGTCGAGTTATGGTCAAAGTAACATATTTTTTGGTAATTTGAAATATTTATTTCAATTTGTACAGAAATACGCAACTAAATAAAATTGAACAGACAATGAAATCATAACTGATGGATTCATTTTATTAAACTCGTATTATTGCATTCATTTCGACTTATTCGTGGCCCTCTTTATAATATGCAATGAAACTGTCTTTTTTTTCATCAGTATTCAAGGATAACTACGAGTGTGCTATTTGGCTGAATTCAGAATTTAATGCAGAATCCAAAAACGAATCGTAAAATCTAGGTTACCATTTTAAAAAATTGGCGTCGATGTCGCGACGCCCTAATGGATGACGCCTATTGCTGGATCTCTTCGCAAATGAAACGACCCTTTGACATAAAAATGATATGCTTTCAGATATTTTCCCGCGGAGTTTTATATGGGCACCCTATATAGTTATTATGTATTATAAGCACAGATGATCAGCATTTTAGCTCAGAGCATCCTCTTTTTTGATGTAAGAAACAAGTTGAGATAGTAAAATCTAACCATGTGAGTTAATGAGAAACGCAGGAAATACAAATAAAATAATACCAATAGAAAGGTAGAGTTAATTAATAAAACTTTTTTTCAAGTAAAATCTAATTCACTGTCAAATGATTTTTTTCCATACTGTGTATTCAATAAAATTTTATGAACCTGAAAATTTTTACGTAACTGCACTTTTACACCTCTGATCCCAAAATACTAATAGCATATTGTTCTATTCAAGATCACGTTCATCTGGTGAAAAGCTGACATGATATCTCAGAGGTCATCACACATGTAATGGAAGTATTAATGATCTGGTACAAATTTATCTTCAGTGCTATACAATAACGCATAATTATGGAGGTGAAAAATTTTCATGTAATCGTAGACCATCAGCAATTATTCATCAACTGAACTATTGTCTGTTTGCCGGTCCAAACCATTGAACAGTTACGACACAGTGGATTCAAATAGAGTGTTTGCATTATACCTGCCTTCTCACAATGAACCTTCACAATTTTTATAATATCATTATGAAGTATTTTCTAATGTAGTATAAGTTAACCAGTGGTTAAATGTATACTCCAATGAAATATGGTACCTTCAAAGATCATGGAAGCAGTCATCATCTATGTACCAACAACTGAAAACGACACATCTTTACATATGGTTGCATCACAATAACCTGATTTACGACGAATAATTATAATATTTATTCGCCACTTACAATACTTATTTAGGATATGGCAACGTGGTTGACATTTCCAAATAAACGAATCCTATAAAAATTGATTATTCACAATGCACCTCCAGAAAAGTTCGCTTTTTTTCGGGTTCACCGACCATTCCTTGAGATGATCGGAAAACAGTTGGGTTTGAATGAATTATATACAACATAAGGACATATGTGGACAGCGACAAAGGTCTTATTCCAAACAGTCTGTTTACTCTCGTACGTAACAATTTCAGCTAAAAAACAAGTGGAGATTCCTGATCTGCTTAAAATTGCGGTCCTTGTCCCTATACTTAAAAATGGTGACAGTAAAAATATCGACAATTATCGACCAGTATCAATAATCAGTATATTCTCAAAAATGTTTGAAAAAATTATATCTGGCAGAATAAATGATTACTTGGAAATATTCGATCTAATGACAAAGTGACAACACGGGTTCAGGAAAAATCGCTCGATAGAAACTGCAACGTTCAGTACAAGAAGTACATGATTTAATGGATGGAAAAAACATTTTGGTGGGTTTATTTTTTGATTTGAGTAGAGCCTTCGATACCTTGAATATTAAATTCGTATCAGATAAGCTATTTAAGATTGGTATTCGAGGAAACATAAATCAGCTCATAATGTCTCTCCTAACAAATATTGATTTCCAGGCGAAACAGATAATGATAAATGATAAATTCCTTGTAACAAATGGGACACCTCAAGTCAGTGTACTCGGTCCACTAATTTTTCTATTATATGTGAATGATCTATCTAATAATATAAATAACGGTGCGATATACTTTTACGCAGACGACACTTCAATTATTCTTTCAAGTAAAACAACGGAAGAAATGCATAACCTTGTAAACTCGGTCCTACACGAATTTGATGACTGGTATTACAGGAATATTACTGGAGTTTTTTCCCAACACCATACAGGCAAAATTGTAAAATTAATTTAGGTTGGAATGCCTGGATGGTTTACCTGTATGAGTTACCTTTATAGCATAAATAGGATTAGCTCGCACTAGTCCTTAGTTTTAATCTTCCTCTTTGAAAATGATCACTTGCTGATCGAAACACGTGTCGAGGTGTTAAAAATAACGATTTGGTGTTGGAAAAAAAACTCCAGTAATATTCATTACTACACCAAAGGTCCCAAACAGTGCATCATGGTATTACAGGAATAGACTTATAGTTAACCTGAGAAAAACTGTTTGCATGGAATTTGCAAATTCATCTCGAAGCCTACATGATTTCAATTTCATTTTCCGGAATGAATCCTTGGCATTAACAAGCTCAATAAAATTCTCAGGAACATTAATGGACTCACATTTCACTTGGCAAGAACATATTGAGTTCACATCCAAGAAATTGAACCAATGGTATTATCTCATTAAATCCCTTAATAATAAATTAGATACTAAGGCACTGATATCAGATTATTTCGCTAAGTTTCAGTCCATTATTTACAACATTGCTGTCTGGGGTTTAGCAACTAAGGTGGACAGAATTTTCCTAAAACAGAAAGCATTACCGATGCTAATTTTCAATCTAGATTACAGAACGTCATGTGAAGAGATTTTTCGTCAAAATAAAATACTAACTGTTGCCTGTTTGTTCTTTCTAAGAACATTGACATATATCCATGAAAATAGAAGACAACTAGAGTCGAGATCAGAAGTCCATAATTATCATACTAGGAATAACCATATGTTCATCACCCAAAAACACCATCACGCAAAGTATAAAAAGTCTCCTATGTTTGCTGGTATCCGTCTCGAGTTACAGATGGGGCGACGTCAAACCTGTTGTTTGTTGTATGCTTCATAGTCTGGTTCACATGTACTCGATTTAGCTCTTTTTGGTGACATTTTTCAGCCCTGTCCGGTGTCATTCGATTCGTATTTTTGCCTAGAAAGTTTAAGGAAAGGTCCGAAAACGCGCCGATAAAAATTACAAAAGTTATAAACAATTAAGTAAAAAAAATGGGGCTTTAGTTTTTTTTCGGCGCGTTTTCGGACCTTTCCTTAAACTTTCTAGGCAAAAATACGAATCGAATGACACCTTGGTCGTAATTTTTGGACAGGGCTGAAAAATGTTACAAAAAAAGTATATGTGAACTAGACCATACGGTCGTTTACCTTCAGTTCCTGAGTCAGTTGAATTTTGTATGGGTGCAGGCCGAAGTCACGACGCAAAATTTGTCAATTTGTGGTTTTGAAAGTCGAGTTCTTGTGAGCTACGCGAAATCGACTACCTCGGATTCTCCTGCACACTCTCATAAACAGTGGCGATGTTTCGGCAGATCTTGCGTTTTGTTGACGTACGGGTGTTGGTCGATCGTTTACTGAGGCAGGGGACTCAAATTTATCCTCATTGCGGATATTCCTTTCGGTAGGACGATTACGACGACCGTAAAATGGGCGAAGCGCGCGGTACGTTTTCCGAACAGAACATCCATTTTGATAAAACAATTTTAATATTTTCACGTGTTGTTGAATGCTATATCCGTCTACGGATGGCCGTTATCAATTATCAAAGTTCGGGAGTTCCTGTTGGAAGTACCAACAAACTTATCGAAGAAGAAAGCGAAATTGTCTGTCCTGACATTATTATATCCGGTTCGGAGAAATTGATCATTATGAAGAAAACCGATGCCTGGGTTTTCGTGGCATTGAATTGAACCGGGTTACTTGAACCCCAATTCGAAATCACTTCTAGATCCTCATTAAGATATGCAACCTCCTGCTGCCGGTGGAGATGTGCATCCGCAGCGAATGTTCTGGACTCCAAATGGAATGATGAGACAAGTGTACTGTCGTCCGCAAAGCAATATATTAGATTCTTGGTTTTTTCCAATAAGTCGTTGATATACAATAAAGAAGGGTTGAAGACAATATTCATCGACGGCCACTTGCAGTGAACGTTTCTTCAAGAACCTGCAAAGTCATACACAAAAATGATCCGACAAGTCATAGCATCGAAGGTTGGCAAGCAAACCCTCATGCCACACATGGTCAAATGCCTTAGAAATATCAAGCGCAACAGCTCTTGGGTCTCCATGTTTCTCGATTGCGTTATTCCAAATATGGGTGGCATGCGATAAAAGGTCGCCTGTTGATCTTAGCTTCCGAAAGCCATATTGATGATTGCTCAAGATGTTAAAGCCTCCCAGATATTCAAGGACGTGGTGGTTTACGGCTTGATTTTTGATATCACTGATAGCAAAGCGACTGGTCTATCAGGTCTTTGGAAGATTTTTCTTGGCCTTTTTGGGAATAGGCTGAACGCGAGCAATCTTCCAACAAGAATGAAAAACACCTTCCTTATAATATAAGACAGGTTGAGAAGTTTGCAAAATACTGGTACGAGTTCATTTGCGCACTTTTCAAGTACGATGACGGATACTTCATCAGTACCAGACGCCTTGTTGACATTGAGCTGTTTCAGAATTCGCCTGACTATAGACGGTGTCGAAAAGTAATTTTCGGCATTGTGGATTCCAATGTGGGAATAGTGGGTGGTACCTTTCCCAGATAATCCACTTGTACTTTCAAGCGAATGTTTTCGTTAAATTTTTTTGTTTTTCAGGTAATAGAATTAATTCAATTTATGAATTGATATTTTGTTCTTATATCCATGCATTTAACTAAAAATATTTCAGGAAGTATTTCAAACTCTGTTATTTTTGAGCAATACCAATCAAGCAACCAGCAATAAATATAACAACTAGTTCCACGGGCTTGTGGATTTATCATGCTGTTTGCTCTCATGGGATTGCTAAATAACAAATTTTTTGTTAGATAATGGAAATGTATCGATAAAATGTTGATGTATTCCAACATAGTTTGAATTGTTCACCCCATTCATTGAAACTGTGAGTAACCTATCTCATAATATTCAGCTAAAACCTTTTCCAGATCATGAAATATAATTTGTGTTGTTATATCATTCTGTCAAGTATCTGTTTTGTTTATCCAACATATTCCTTTAGACAATTTCTTCAAATAATTATTTTCCAAAATATTTCTTGATGTTTTGGCTGAACTATTACATGAGTATTCAATACCACTTTCATGCTCCGAAAACTTCGTCAGGTTTTAGACTCATTGTACACACATCGCTAAAATTTTTGGACCCCGTCGTAAATTGTAAAAAGAAATATTAATCATGGCTAGTTTTTTGTACATTTCATCTTTATTTCTATTACCTGTGCTAGGCGTAGAAAAATGTTTACAAAAACAAATTCCTCTAATTCTAGATGCCAATGTTAAAAAAGTGGTTCATATCGATTCAGCGTGTTTAAGTGATTGTTGGGTTCTTCTTTGCAATTATGCCTGGCAATAGAATTTCAGTGTTCCATAGAGCAAGAATAGTGGATTTGCATGATGTGAGTCTGCCGAATCATCAAATCGCGGATAGACTAAGGACTAAGGATTCCCCGTGCTTCAGTTATCCGAATAGTGCATCTGTACCAGGAAACTAACAGCGTTGGCTGGAGACGTGGAACTGGGCGTCCTAGATTAACTAATGCAAGAGAAGATCGGTATCTAGCTGGATTTGTACGTCAGAATCGAACCATAACAGTCTCAGCAGTCCGAACTCATTCAAGAAGAACGTTTGGTTGAATACGGCGGAGACTTGCTAGAGCCAATTTGCAATCCAGGAGGCCATTAAAAGTACCCAGGCTACTTTCCAGACACATAGCCGCTCGTATACAGTGGGCACAGAAACACAGTAACTGGCTTTTAGCTCATTGACGAAATGTCCTTTTTTTGGACGAAACCAGATTTGGTTTAGTTAGTGATAGTCGGCAACACAGAGTTTGGAGAAGTCCAAGGCGACAAGAAAGACTATCATTTGCTAGAGAAGTCATTCCATACCAAGGAGGATCAGTTAATGTTTGCATAGTCGCCGTACGCAGCTTATTATGACAGGGAATAGATATATTCGAAACATTATTGAACCCATTATTTATCCTCTCCAATTTCATTTCCATGGATGACAATGCTGAGTCTCATCGCACGAGAAGAGTACAAAAGGCACCTAAAATTGGTGCCTTTTGTATGGTGGCCAGCAAATTCACCAGACACGAATCCCATGGAGCACATGTGGGATTTCTTCAAACGAGCAATCTCAAACAGCCTCATCCGAGAACTCACACTCGCGGCCCAAGAAGAATGGAACAACATCCCAATGGATGCTCAGGCTAGTTAACACCTTAGTACAGGGGAGGACACACCGAATATTAATGCATTTTTGATTTCGCTCAAATGGTTTTCTTTTACATTTCAGACTCTGATAATCATTTTATTATGAACTATTTTTCGTTTGTATTTTTTTTCTTGTTCAGTTAAAATTAAATTCAGCTAATTGAAGTTACATAGCCAAATTGGTTATGTAACTTCTTGACTCATGATAATAGGGTCTTATTTAGATAAACATAAGGGGGTCCAAGAATTTTGGCGATGTGTATATTTTGAAGAAACCATCTTACAGTAAAAAATTAACACACTGAATGACTGTTCATATTTAATCGCCATCTTTTGCATAATCAATTTTTTCGGAGGAACAAATACATCAGAAAGGTTGTATATTATCTATAGCAGCCACAAGTGATTCTATTCAACAGTGAGGTAACGAATGCACGTAATATCGCTCACTTTACTTTTGACATTATAATATATCATAATGCGCATCCATTACACGATCTTCGATGTAACAGCATAACCATCTTTTAATTTCATAAATGTACGCCATAATGTCTGGCAAAGGCTGCTCACGAAATGTTAATGTGGTATATTTATATAAACGAGTTTCGTAACGAAGATATCTGGTAACAAATGCCACATCCTGGAAAAAATGAAAATTCACTATGCGATTTCAACAGTTGAATGAAATCGTGTATTAGTTATAGTATATACGACATAAAAACTATATAGTTACCGAAAGTCGGCAGTTTCTTTGTATGGTATGGTGAAATTTTTTTGTCTAATAATTATTTTTGTGTGGAAGGTTCAATATGGTATCAACCAGTAAATTTATCAGGCTCGGTACATTAGTCTTTCATTTAGATGTTCGGATTAACTTTTTATAGACTGTAGGTATATGAGATATGTTCAAATATGTGTGACATTCTAACCTGAAATAATAACAAGAATATTTGTATACAGGTCCGTAGCGAAAACAAAAATCAGGGGGGAAAGGGAATCCAAATTTTCCCAACCCCACCAGCAAAATTTCCCAACATTCGGAAAAATGAAAGCCGAGGGATTACTTACTACTATAATATATTAATTTTCTTACTTAGCTATCCAAAGATTGACTGAATGCTAATGCCCGTTAGGGTATGCACAAACAAAAATAAATTTTGTTAATTACACAAATAATAATGGTTGTTATTCTACCTTGGACCAAGATCCTTGGTCTCCCACCATATTCACCATGTATAGGAATATTCAATACAAATGAAAGGAAACAACACTCAAATAATATTGTGTTTTTTGTTTTCTACTATTATTTTTTCTATCTTCACGGCCCGAAATTTCCCGACTTTACCAAGTCGAAAAAATAGCGAAAAGTTGGGAATTTCGTAAAATTGTCACTTAACAATTTGTGGACTATTCATATCAACTTATTCCCAAGTTGAAAAAGCAGGGGGAGGTTCCCCTCTTCCCCCCCCCATGGCGACGGTCCTGTTTGTATATCAACAAAAGTAATTTTTGTGCAATAAATCAGAGTTTTTTATTCAATTTTTCAGAAATTTTTGCCTTTCCCAATCTGTAGAAAAAGATACTTTGCTTGCCTCCGTTTTAGGAATTGGAAAAATCAACTATATCTATTTCTATTCCTTCTCAAATTTGTGTTATTTTTGTTATCTTCTGTGTTATCCACAAACGTCAAAAGTAATTCAAAACATGAAATGAAATGTCTTTGAAACATTCGAATTTGTATGTATTTTTTACTATAAGTATATTGCAAATATATCATTTTCTATATCTTTCTTTGAAATAATTGATGGTTACCAATTTTCCAGGAAAATATGGAAAATCACAGAAATAACAGAATGGCAATACACTAATATGAGAGAATAATTTGTACTACATCAAATGTTTCAAAGTCAATCAACAACTTAGAAATATTTCATATTCAAAATGTACCTAACAAATTACCATCACAGTGCAACATCTAATCATTTTGCGTATCATCTCTAAGTATCGCCTCTACGTAATAAAGTGACATCGCAGATATGTCAATGTTACAGATGTGGTTAAAAAAATATGTTGAAAGTATGTTTTTTTTCGTATCCCAACAAACGACAACCCTCGGAAGTCTAAACTTTTGCGAGCTAAGGACTATACTCTACAATTCAAAATATATTAATAAGATAATTGAATATTACCTATTTTGCAGATATGCCCAATATTCCCATTTCAAAATATATTCAGAAGCCGATTACTATAAACTCGAAATTGATGGGTACGAAGGAAATGCAGGAGATTCCTTGAATGATCCTTGGTATGGAAGCAACAATAGTCCATTCTCAACATATAACAGGTGAGAGATCCTCGAAAAAGATGTCGTATTAGGGCCATGGCAAACTTCTTTCGATCAAATCAATCAATACTTTTGTAAAAAGTTTCGTTTGAAAGTTTTAATTCGTTTAGGTGCTCACTTCCCACTTATTTTATTGTACGTTCGAACTGATGACCACTGATGGAAAGTGCGAAACGTTCTCGCACATTCCAAAGCATTTCCGGGCTAATTCTACGGCACTCATCGACAATTACGCTGGCTGTGTTCTATTCCACCTTTTAGATGTTCCTTCAGTAGAAGATATCAAGAGGTTACAAATAAGGTGGAATTGGAGTTTATTCAATGCTGCTTCTCCATCCGTTCCAGTGTTGACGAAAATTTTGTTCTGAATAATGACGGACAAGCAAGGCAGGATGCGAAAGGATTTCGTCCTATCGAAACATCATCATATCGTTTATTTGAATCAACATTTTCCACGGCATTGAATTAGAAGAAGAGGCAATATTAATTGGTCTCCGTGGTCGCCAGATTTTTCCCCTTCTGATTTAATTTCGTCTGATTACATCTAAATTAAAAGCTACAAAATACAACCACTCACTTCAAAATATTTGCATAAAAAATTTGTCGTCGGGACAGCCATCTAATCACTCTGAAGATATTTCGGAATATGCCATAACGCTTTGAATAAAATCTTCGAATCATCAATTTGAACAGGTAATTAATTTTCAAATGTCATCTTTTACAAACCTATTAGGCTGTACTTTTAAACTCAAAGACTTCTGTAAATAAAATTCTGAGGTCTTTGAAAAAACATCTTCATATATTGCCTACATTTAAAAATGTAGGGAGAATAATTTTCCTCACTTGAGGGTGGAAGAAGCGGAATCAGAAATGCCGTTGAATAGAGTTGCTCCCCAATAATCGCGAGTCGATATATTTCAGCAGAATTTCACTTCATCAAATGAATGCTTCTTTTTTCAGAGATAATGACAGATCAAGTTTAAACTGTGCGTCTATGCTGAAAGGAGGATGGTGGTGGAAATCCTGCGGTAGAGGATTGAATGGTCTTTATCTAAATGATCCACAAGACCTCACAGCCAGGCAAGGTGAGTAGCGAAGAAGAAGTTGTAGTAACATTCGGAGAGTATTTCTCAACAAAAATTAACGAGAAAATCAGGACACATTTCCCAGGGAAAAATTCAGAAAGTTGTACTACAATGTCAAATACTAATGCAACCATGTTTTTTGAACCAGTCACTACGGATGAAGTAAAAACAGTTATAGCCTCGTTAGACAATAAGAAAAAACAGGACATGATGAAGTATCCACAAGAATAACCAAAGAATGTGTGGATACATTATCTGAAGTTATAGGATATATTTCAAACTTATGTATTTTGTTTGGAGAATATCCTGATCTTCTTAAAATTGCGGTCCTTGTCCCTATACTAAAAAATGGTGACAGTAAAAATATCGACAATTATCGACCAGTATCAATAATCAGTATATTCTCAAAAATGTTTGAAAAAATTATATCTGGCAGAATAAATGATTACTTGGAAATATTCGATCTAATGACAAAGTGACAACACGGGTTCAGGAAAAATCGCTCGATAGAAACTGCAACGTTCAGCTTTGTACAAGAAGTACATGATTTAATGGATGGAAAAAACATTTTGGTGGGTTTATTTTTTGATTTGAGTAGAGCCTTCGATACCTTGAATATTAAATTCGTATCAGATAAGCTATTTAAGATTGGTATTCGAGGAAACATAAATCAGCTCATAATGTCTCTCCTAACAAATATTGATTTCCAGGCGAAACAGATAATGATAAATGATAAATTCCTTGTACAAATGGGACACCTCAAGTCAGTGTACTCGGTCCACTAATTTTTCTATTATATGTGAATGATCTATCTAATAATATAAATAACGGTGCGATATACCTTTACGCAGACGACACTTCAATTATTCTTTCAAGTAAAACAACGGAAGAAATGCATAACCTTGTAAACTCGGTCCTACACGAATTTGATGGCTGGTATTACAGGAATATTACTGGAGTTTTTTCCCAACACCAAATCGTTATTTTTAACACCTCGACACGTGTTTCGATCACCAAGTGATCATCTTCAAAGAGGATCAAGCTAATCCTATTTATGCTATAAAGGTAACTCATACAGGTAAACCTTATCTATTAGTTTACAATATATGTTTATATAAAACAATTTGTTTTATATAAACATATATTGTAAAATAATAGATAAGGCAAAATTGAAAAATTCAGTTAGGGTGGTATATCTGAATGGGTGGTACACCTGTATGGTTTACCTATATGGTATATCTATAAAGCATNTTATTCTTAGATAATTTGACAAATAAAATAATCAAATCCCGAAATATGAAGGTACTTCATCAGTGATAAACCACTCGGGAAAGTTGTAATACAGTCTAGAATGAGGACCTGTCTAGGAAACGCAATTGATTCATGTGTGGAGAAACTAACCTCACACGTAAATCAGCGGAAATATTCTCAGCCAAGCGACCTTGGAAGCTCTTGACTCTCGCTTTGTTGCCTTCCAGGTCGCACTAGCCTGAAAGGACCAGAACTCATCAGCAGAAGAGTGGCTTAAATATGGTCCCGAACCTGAAATTTTCTTAGTGCGGATGAGGATCGATGACTACCTCACCTGTATCCGCCAATATAACATGCTTTTTTACGCAATCTGATATAAATAATGTATGCGTCTCTTTTTTCAGGTATAGTTTGGTTCCGTTGGAAAGGATGGGATTACACATTGAAGAAATCTGTAATGATGATCAAACCAAGGAGTTTCGTCGGTGGCACCTAGTTTAAATTCAAACTGAAGTAGCCAATTTATAATCACCGGTGAACTCATCCTCATTTCGTCGTTAAACATTCATCGATCATAAAATTATTTATTTCAGACAAAATCCTCAACACAGAGTTTACCTACTTTTTACCTCATAGGAATAGGCAACGTTTCATTTCGATTGAGCTGTGTCTGATTTTCAAAAAATTAACTACGCCTCACTTGCAGAAATATTTTCTTTGACACACGTCAAAAAACACACCTAAAAACTAATAAGTATTGTTGTATAATATTTATTTTTTGATAATGTAAAAACAATCAGGGCAATCAGGGGACAATGAAAGTGTTTGAATGTCTTACCAATATCTTGAACTTATAATAGAAATTTCTACAACATATCAGATGCGATCGATTAAATCCCTATCGACATCTTGAATCAGCTACGTTGAGGAGTTCATTTTTATATACAAACATTTCGACATGTCCCCATAAAAAAGTCTAATGACGTCAGATCACGGTATCGTACTGGCCATTTAACCACTAAAGTAAACATTTTTCTTCAATTTTATATCAGTAAAAGTTAGCGTTGAAATAGTGTATCTCACTATCACTATCAAGACCTGAATTGGAAATAAGTATGTTTTGAGTGTGTTTGTTGTGTGTTTTGTAGCCAATCTGAAAATAATCAAAATTTCCGAAACAATTGAAGATAGATTCAGCTTGTCAGATGTAGAGAAGAACTTTCTGAATTCCGTTATGGTCCCGTCTACTAGATGTGCGTTCGTTAGAAGACTATGAAAACGAGAGATAGAGAGAGATAATTCTCAAGTCACTTCCTAGATTTGACAAGTTGTATAAGATATTGTACTTCAAATATCTTCCAAAGAATCAATGAATTGAATAATATACAGAGTAATGCATTCAAAAAATTAGTATTAGCCACTGTTACACATACTACAAGTTTTTGTTGAAAAATACGCGACTAAAAATACCAATCGTCTTTTTCGAGTGCTTTTTGAAAATGCCACTTTTAATAATTATACACTTGATTTTATTCAGCTCATTGCACAGCGTATATTAACAAAATTGGACACACATCACTACAGAAACGTGAATAGAGAAAGTTTCAACATCACCGGTAACAAATTTCTGGAAGTTGGTATCACAAATAAATAAAAATTCATCTAAATAGTCTGTACTCATATTTCAAATAGGTATATTATTTTTCGAACACAATATGAAGTATTCACCACTATCATAGATATTTTCAGAAATTTGTTACCGAACGTTTATGAATGTTATAAGTTAAGTTACCAGTAACCCCCTCCCCCCAGTTGAATTAGATAAATCGATACAGAAATAAGAACCTATATAGATAATTTTTATCAGTACATAGTTATGATATTGAACTAATAATAATAGCGATGTATGCAGTGGCGCAAAGTGTTTCGTAAAACAACAGAAAACTATGCAATAATAATGATTGAAATGTTTGTTTCGTGTATTTAAGCATCTAGTGAAAATTAACTGATACAATTTACTGTAATATTTACACTAAACAATTTTCACAAAACATCGACACATGTTTCACTATATGATAGCAAGCAAAAAAGCTATGTATATAAAACACGTTTCTTCAAGTATCGGCCATTTCTATCCAATTTCAAAAAAATTGTATTGCCATACAGTTTAAGTCCGGCCGTACACGGACCACATATTTGCAGTTGAGGCAACCACAACATTGTGTCCACGTTGACTGCACTTCGTGGTTGACACAACCACATTTTTGTGCTCGATTTGAAGTCATATAAACCGCACTTGCAGTTGAGGCAACTGACATCTATATTTTGTGGTGTCAGATTTTAGTGCCAGTTTCAATATGGATTTCGAAGAAGAACCACTACTACTTCTTATTTTGGGGAGAAGGAGAAGATTTAGGAATGTACGATCGTTTTGGGTACATCCACTTCTGGTTGCGCGACAATAGGAAGGAAATTTTTATATTTTGTTTGAAGGTGGGTGACAATATTTCGTGGAGCAATTTCATCAGTTTGGACTTCCATTGTCTAATATGATAGAAATTAATTTGAAATTCCTGAAAGAATATGTAAAGAAATCAAAAAGATTTGCAAAAAAAACAATTTTATTAAGCAAAAAACTGAAATTACAATGAAATAACATACAAGCAACAACCGGGAAACTCCGGCAAGACGGAAAACATTTTTTAATTACTTCGGAATGTCCAATAGTTCTTTTAATGAATTAATTAGAATTTTGAAATCAAAAATTGAACGCTGTGAGACCAATATGAGAAAAAGTACACGATAGTGTACGCGGTTGGGTATGACTGCAAGTTTGCGGTTAGTGTACGGCGAATGCCGCGATGACATCTCGGCGGAGATAAGCAGTATAAGCAGTAAGTTGACTGCAGACGCCCGTTTTGAATTTTGTGAACGCCCGTGTACGTGTAGTACGGTATTTCTTATGTCGCTGGAACGCGACTGCAATTGTGTGGTCGATCCGACCGCAAAATGTGGCTCGTGTATGGGCTCTCTAACTTCTGTTTACTGTCGTTTCTATAGAAGTTTTTGATCTATCAAAGTTTAATTGGAACGTTCCACAACGATCGATTCTTGGAACACGCCCAAATCTTGTTTATATCAGTTTCAAAGTTCCAATTGAATATTAATTGGGATGGTATGAAATATTTCGAGGTTCTATGTATTCATAACAAATTAGTTCAAATAAAAAATGAGGAATTTGTTACTGGGGAAATATTTGATGATTTTCTATCACATCAATCTGAGTTACATATAAACCCATTCAAATATTTCAGTTTTACTTTCAAAATAATATTGACCAACTCAATCAATTAGGCTAGATATTTTTCCAATCCAAAAGATAATGAAGTCAAACACAATATAGACAAAAACAATATATCAGGATACTTGAATAAAATCTTTTATTGAATTGTCAAAACTTTCCACAATTCATGACAAAAATAAGTTTGAAGTCAATTCAGCATTGTTCAAATTTTTTCATTTAAACGATGATAGATCATCTTAAAAAAATCATAGTTCCATTTGAAATGAAAGAATAATAATTACTATAGTGTCAAATTGAGAAGTATCAAAAAACATTTCAGGCATTATGTGAGTGTACTTTTTACTATGACATCAAACATCCGACTAACATTTCAGAAGATAAATCCGATGATTATAAATTGGGACCATGCCCTAAATCATTTATTTAAAGCAAATATGAGACATATGGAAAAAGACTGTGACTTATCGGAAATTGTAATTGCTTATTATTTCATCGATAAGTTTGTATGTAAGTTGTAAATTTTCTACGAGGCTAACGGGACATGATTTGCAATGTTCATACTGACATGGAAACATCTTTCAGTAGATAAATGTACCTTTTTAGCATCAATATGATTGTTTTGTAAATAATATATTTTTCAGAGTTGTATAAATATATTTTAATAAAGTAAGTTAGATTATTCAAATAATATGTGTTGTTTTATTTCTGAAATAAACTGTTGGTTTTGTATTTTCGTGGTGAGACGGAATGGTCTGAACACTGATATTTTTTCAAGAGGATTAATAGTTTTATAATTCGAATAGGGCCGATGCAACCAAGTGTTCCACCCTATGTAAAAGATCATGATTGCGGTACTCATTGTCTCAACTGCTCGCGAAACGTAATTTAATTGATAAAAAAACCTGGTGGAGCAATAATTGATATTTAGAACGATTTTTTTTTCAAATTGTAATCTTTTACGAAGGTGGTTCAAGGTCAAACGACATCCTGTATAGAAACTATATAAACGTTTTGATGACTGATAGAGCCGCTACTGCTCCGTCAAATCTTTCCATTTTGGAAAGACTGCAAAACAAACTTCTTAGGATGCTGGTGAATGCTCCATGGTTCGTGCGGTCCGCAGAGTATTGAAGCTGTTAACTATACGGCAGTCCATTCAGTCGAGGAATCAGAGAGTTTTCGAGTCAGCGGAAACTCATGATAACTCATTAGTTAGGGAAGCTGTAGATTATACTATAGACGACCCCTCACGATACAGAAGGCCCCGTCGCTCGGTTGATTGAAGGTCCCACGACGTCTGTTAAAATGAACAGTTTGTTCGTCAAATACCCCAGTCAGGAAGGGGTACACAAGGCCAGGACGGCATAGAGGTCATTGATATTAATGTCGTCACCAAAAAACACCTTCAGTTATGAACCACTCGTTCTCCTGACGAAAGACAGTTGAAAGGGTAAGGGAAAAAATTTCCAACCTGAAGAAAATGAACATGACATATATGAGTATAGATACACTACGTGTTGAATAATGACATCAAATGGTAAACTGGTAGGTAAGATCTGTAAAGCTGAATGTAAAATATGTATTTCAATTTATCATATTATAGAGTTGGTAGGTAAGATCTTTAAAGTTAAATGTAAAATATGTATTTCAGTTTATCATATTATAGAGTTTGTTGTGACATTTAATGCATTCATTAATGACGAAAACCCCACGTAGCAAAGTCAGAAAAAATACATGTGCTTCTAATGTGCTTTTTCTATATCATCCATTGTCCAAGAAACACAACCAATGTAAAATTGATGTAACTTTAATAACAACCGCAAACTTCAATCGAGAATGCCTAAAGTCATTTACAATCATCAAACATCATACTAAGACCATACTAAAAAAAAGTTGGTAAGTATACTTGATAAACACCAAAACAATGATGGGCGTATCCAGGCCAGAGATTCACAAAAATCCGTAACTATAACGATATTATTCACAGATTACAACAACTATATTGTGATCTGTGATACTATTGTAATACTTCTCTTCATTTCACTCCTAAAATATCTAACGTCAAAGTGGATTACTCTCAGTCCTGATCCAAAATTCGAACAACGGACTGAAAACAGTGAAATGATTCGATGGAGTAAACATCTGAACGCACCTTTTGTTCCATGCGCCCAAAGCTATTATTTTTTGCCGATATTAAGTGTTTTCTGGTTGACTTAATGCGCCTGAATTAATCGAAGCAAAAGTCAATAACATAGAGAGAGAGAATTTTTTCCTGGCGGTTAGTCGGATTCCAGCATGTATTTAAAAACGATTCGTAATGACGTCATTAAGATTCGCCAGAACGGATCTGGCGGCTTCTGCCGAATCAATGACCTGTTCCGGTAACATATTATATACTATTACATTTGCTTTCTTAGATATATCTTATGGGATATCACTACCATTATTACAATCAACATCCATCTTCTTGAAAATAACTTGAAATTGAAGCAACTACAAGCAAACACAAACACGCGACCTGCCAACTAACCGTTTCTATAGTAAAAAGGCACAGAAAGACCACTGAATGATGTGAAATTGTAATGGTAGTATTGATAACATTAAGAATAAAATGTATGGAATAGAGAAGTACCATTTAGTTATTTTGGACTTATTTTTTTCAGACAGAAAAAATTTTTGAATACGATTTTACTGAAAACATTGAACAACTAATATCTTCAAGACAACAATCGTTCAAAAGCGATAACTTATGGGGACAAAAAATCACATCTGATGTATTGTAAGTATATATATAAAATTTGTGTTTCCATGGCAGATTCCAGAGAATTTCAACACCCTCATGTGCCTTTAAAACACACTCATTTCACTCACTCACTACAAAAATAACTATTCTAAAAAGCTGGAGGTTTGATAACATCTTTTTAATGAGAATTGGTAAGTTCTAGTATTTTAGATGGTGGTAGTACTGATTGTCATCTACAAATTTATTGATATGTTCAAAATTCAATATTTGGGAGGAAGCATATCTCACTTTATGTTTTTATAAAAATAATATCGCCCAACAGTAAAATTTTTCGTCAGGATTCTCGCAACGGGTTAGTTAAAATTGACAGTAATATATCAGATGTCATTTTGCATATTTGCAGATTCCCAACATGACCCATCTCAGCATTAGATCTACCTTGGCTTACACCTTTTCTGCTACTACCTTGATAACTACCCTCATTCTCATTCTATACCATGTTCTTACTGGAAAGGGTGAAAGAATAAGCGTAGGATGGTTCCTGGAAAGTACTTCACCTCATATGTGGTGCTGTCTTGGAATAGGATTATCTGTCTCTCTTTCGATTGTGGGAGCCGCAGTAGGAATTCATACCACCGGAGTCAGCATTGTGGGAGGAGGAGTGAAGGCACCTCGAATTAAAACCAAAAATTTGGTATCTGTAATTTTTTGTGAGGCCGTTGCGATTTATGGTTTGATTATAGCCATTGTGCTCTCTGGATACATGGAAGACTTCACTTGGAATTTAGTAGTGAATGATGAATTTCTCAAGTCGAAGAATTGGTTGGCAGGTATACAAAACGCTAGTTTACCTATGAAATTAATTAATGGATAATAATTTTATTAATCTTAACATGGCATTTGTTCGTAGTGGGGGTAATATGACACAAACATTGAAAAAAGAATTGAGAATAATACAGCTAAAAATATTTAAATGTTACGATAGTTCAATCTATTCAAAAATATATATTTTCAGTTGTCTTGAATTTTTTACAATTTTAGTTCTCAATATTATCAGAACCACTCGTTCTCCTTAGTTGAAAGGGTAAGGGAAAAAATTTCCAACCTGAAGAAAATGAACATGACATATATGAGTATAGATATACTACGTGTTGAATAATGACATCAAATGGTAAACTGGTAGGTAAGATCTGTAAAGCTGAATGTAAAATATGTATTTCAATTTATCATATTATAAATTTGTTTCAAAAGAGGAAGATATGATACCCAAACTGATGTTGGGTTTTGATAATTTCAGTAATTTGAAAGAAAATATATCATTTTCAAATATTTTAGTGATATATTTTAAATTTCATTGAATATGCCTGTAAGAAGCGTAATTTTCTTCCTAATTCTACTGATATGTGAATTCCACAATAAAGTCTAATCTGAATATAAACATGTGAATTCCACAATTAAGTCTAATCTGAATATAAACCTTAATTTCATTTTTAAATTTCATCAAATTATAACTGAAATTGAGGAGAGAAAAATGATAACCATAATTTATATTTTGATTTATTTCAATATAATTGCTCAGCACTGTTTATCAAAATTTAACCAATAATTTAATTCAAGATTTCCAGAAAATGGTTTAACATGTTGAATACACATCTGAAGAAGTTTTTGTGTAATATAAACATGTGTTTTTATAAATTGCTTTGAGAAAATGTCTCAAAGTGCTTACTACTATGCTTACTTCTCTCCGGTAGGTACTTAATAACTTATATTAATGATAATACTTTTGCAGGCTACCTCATGTTTGGGTCTGGTCTATCAACTGGAATGGTCAATTTATTCTGTGGAATGGCAGTAGGAATTGTAGGCTCAGGAGCAGCTTTAGCTGATGCTGCTAATGCTACTTTGTTTATGAAAATACTTGTTATTGAAATTTTTGGCAGTGCTATTGGCCTTTTTGGTCTAATCGTGGGAATATATATGGTTTCCAAAGTTCAAATGGGGGACAAAATCCACTAAATGCATCACTTTAAGTGGTGTATTATAGAAAAAAATGACAGAATTATTAGATATCAGTTATCTACTGGGTACTAGGTTTCAAAATACAGTAAAACTCCTAAGTCCTCCAATTTATTGAAATGAAAAATTGTCTTCGTCTGATTTAATTATGATTTTTTTTGTTTTTTATAAAATAAGAACATACTTTCAATATTAGCAATGGAAAAATCTCTTGAAATTTTGCATTTGAGTTTCAATTGAATTTTATCCAGAGTATAAGTGGATTTATGCAAGTCAACTCAACTTATGCATAACTTTACTGGAGAATTCAACTTATGAAAATTATTTTATGCAAAATTTTTCAAGATAAATTGGAATAACATGCACCTGCGTCTGAATTGACTTCAAATAGATCAAATAATTATGGACTCAATCATATGTTTCATGAAAACATTTTGTAAGAAAAAATAAGTAATATGATCCACTTTTAATTTTTTTACTTGTAGCATTTGATAGCATAAACTGGAGAAATTGTAACTGATAGTTATAAATTAACAAGTCGATGAACTATGCATGGTGACACCAAAACTTAGTACATAGCTCCATTCAGTTTGTGGGGTAATAAATTGATATTCACAACTAAGGTATAGTTCATTGAAAATAATATTGCTACTAATTAAACAAAATTGAAAATCTATACCGGTTTAACCTAAAATAAACTCATGTCAAACATTTTAAATAAAACTTTTTTAGACTGATAGGATATGAAATTCCCTTTTCTCACGATCTAACTGCCATTTTATTTAAATTTAATATGTTGATACTATGGAAATATTGTCAAGCAACTTGATGTAGTGAGAAACAAGACGAATTTTGCTGAGTTTTTCATGTGTTTACAAACTTCCTTCCAATATATGCAATAGAAAAACCTCACTTTCACACTGACACAGACAAATAAACCGTATTCAGAAGATTCATCTGATGGAGTAGTAAACATTCTGCTGAAGAAGTTGGATTTAAAGATTTGCTCCTGGATTCATGGGATACGCCCATCAAGACATCCAGGAAATCCTTCGATATCTGTCAGAAGATTTACATGAGGACGTTAATAGAATTACTGAGAAAGCTGAAGCGATCTTAACGGAGATTGACGAAAAATTGAGCTACAGCGAAAAAGCACAAGAGTCATGGCGGAAATATTTGAGAATGTACAACTCTTAAGATTGTAGAAAATTTCTTGGTCAATTAAAATCCACGATGAAGTGTACACACTGTGGATACTCATCAGTAACCTTCGATCTTTTCTGGGATTTTTCTCTTCCCATACCACAAAGAACTGGCCAATTGAACCGACATGTTTGAAGGTGCAATATAAAAATATTCTCTCCCATGAAAAAATTTAGAGTAAGAATTGAATGTTGCCATAAACTTTCCTCTGGAAGGATTATATGTGAGCGATTATGTAGCACGCAATGTGGGTTTTTGTCGTTATAATCTATATTAACTTTCGAATCACAGGTGGCATTTCACAGACACCTCTACACTGGCACGTGACACGAATACAATGATTCATATGTATCTCAAATTACACCAAAATCGCTAGTGAGTGAAGAGGCATATATCCTCTTTTATGAAATGGAAGAAAAGAAATGACACCTATTGTCATGTCCAATTAAAGTTTTGACTTGGGTTCATTTTGGTTGAACGGGTATGAATTTTCTATTGTTTGGTTTCAGTGAACTATAGCTACGTTCCGAATATCAAATTTTCCACGTCACAAACAAATGAATGGTGTCCTGTACAATGATTTGGTATATGCTCGAATTTCCTGAATCCACACATATTTTAGAGGTTTTCCTTATACTTATGGGCAATTCCCTAAACAGGAATTTAATATTCCACTCACATTTGAAAAGTGTTCCATTTTGCTTTCAAATTTTGTGTTTAGATTTTATTATCTAGTCAGTTCATCAGGGATTCAACAATTGTGATTTATTTTTGATAGACAGATAGATTTTTGTAGAGTCTCTCTTGAATTTTGTACAAATCTACTATGACTGTTTTGTTTTTGTGATAAAAAAATGGTTGGACCATTTGTATGATCTCTTTAGTTTTTATGTTTAGTTAAAATTATTAGTTGAGTAATATCTGATGTCTAGTCCAGTATTTTGTTGCATTTATATAAGGTTTGACTTAAATGATTTTGTGATAATTGAATCAGTCATTTGAAAGCCCTCCAGTTTTTCAAGTATTTTTTAATGCAGATCTACTACGTCGCCTATCCCGGTTCAAGGAAGCATTACAAACCTGATAAATGTTCCTGTTATTCCAAGTTGACAGGTTTTGAAACATTTTTTTGATTTTACACAAGCTTTAGTTTGCGTACAAGTGAGGTTTCTCAAACGACTGATTCACTTTTATGATATGACTTTTCAAATTAATATATTAATATCCTAATCTCCAATATCTACTATCAAATGATTTGAGTTATTTGTTAGAATAGTTACAAATAGTGGGTGTCATAATGAGCTTGTATAAAATTTAGAATAACTCTAGATTCTGTTTCGGTAGTGTGTCGATCACAAATATCATTGTTTTCCAAAAATCTGTAGTCAGTATGAAAATCCAACTTCAATTTCTTATACATAAGTTTATAATGACATTTACTATATATTCGTATGCCTCAATGTATAGGTTTAGTTTGAACAATGTTGTTAAAGGTAGTGACCATAGTTATAATTATATCTTCCTTTTGTGTAAATCATTTCTAGTCTGAATTTCATTTCATTGTTTGAAAATTGTCTTCTTGGTTTATATAACAAGAAATGTACAGCTACCGGACTGAGTAATGGCCTGTGTGAGAAATCGTATCTGCGTAAAGTTTGGTCAGTGTATGACAAAGAATTAGGGAGAAAATTAATAGAAACTTTGCAATTTTACGTAGTACGGATTAAGGGGTAAACAATAAATGGATATTAAAATGCCTTTTGGGTTTTTGTAGATATATAAAAAGCAGTTTATGTAGAGGCAAATTTGGGAGGGAAGGGCTTCTCACCGGCCAGGACTTAGTCCGGCAGCTGAATATCAAAAACATATCGTTATTTATTAATTTTTCAATTTGTGTTGTTGAGATTCCTAATCTCAGCTTTAGGTTTGTTTTTTTTTAATTTTGATCCGAATAGCTTGCTCTTTTGTTTGAATTTGTTTTCGGTTGTTCTTTCTGAAATTAATTTGTTTAATTTTTTGAATTGAGATGCGTTCAAAACATGTGTGTCAATTGATTTTCCTTTTATTTGACTTGTTCATTGTTGGGAGGTTCTAGTCTTAATTTTAGGTTTTATTTGTTGAATAATAAGACAAGTCTTTGGATAGTCCTGTGGTTCATCAACTATATTGCAAGAAAGTTGAATGGATTATTTTTTTTTCGAAGATCCATTATAAAAATCTCCAAGGTACTTTTTTACTTACTGTTTTTTTCTGTTATTTCAATGTTACTGCTGAACTGTTTGAATAAATGTGTATGCTGACTGTTCTAATAATTTTTTTCAGTTCAAATTTTTCATTGCTACCTATTCCTTCAGTTAATAATTGCCAATGATGTTTTATTGTTTGAGTCTGTATTAGTAATACAAACTTTATATACGTAATTTTCTTCAATAATAATCAGTTTTCTAACATTTTACTGCTAATTGAATTAATAATCCACTCGACTTTTTGATCATGAAGTGACTAGTAATTCCATTACTTAAAAAAGGTGTAATCTTCAGATTTATAGTTTTGGATCTGGTTATTCACGAAAATAGTCTGAAATATATAGGCACATATCCATTCAGAACTATGGGTATATTGAAATAATTCGTTTAATTCAAGATGTTTTACAAAATCACAACACTGAATATACATTACTTCCTTTTGTGCAATATTGAATACCAGATAATAAATAAATTATGGCAATTTTCTCATAATGAATTCAATCACCTATATAGTGATCAGTAACTGTTCAAACCATAAAATTAGTAGATTATATGTCTCTACAAGGTAAGTCCAAACTTGGTGAGTTTAATAACTTTTTTCTCAAATCGATCACCCTTCACATTTAATTTTTGTGTAAATCCGACCTGCCTACTGAAATATGTAATTCGAATTTTCAATATCAATCAATCGATACATACTTTATTATCTGAAGGTCATTGTTAATTTACTCAATTTTGTTGCACTAACAAATACAAGGAATAGTTACCCTCAGAAGGATGTTTAGGAAGATAGTGGAATAACCAATTTAAAAAAGCATGAAAACTCAATCATGAAATATTTTATTAAATTTCATCAACTGAAAACAAAAGCATACATACATTTATGCACACTCCAAGTGCAATAAACAGATATTAACTTCTGAATTTTTCATTTTTCTACATGTGTTTTTGCTATCTCAAAGAATCAACTCTCTTACTAAAAATAAATGTAAATATTAGAGATACAACTTCTTTATTTCGAGGCCCGTGACTTTTTAACATGATTCTGTTTGCATTTGAACCAAACGTCTAGCAAGTATCCACAGAAACCTAATTGAAAATCCACTACGATCTAACTGGAAATAGAATAAAGGTCTCTGCCCACTATACCGTACCAATCCATGACCGTAAACGTACTGGCACATGCTGAAAAATATTCTTTCATACGATTTATATGAACCAACGCCCACCAGACCGTTTCGTCACCGGTCCGGCACGTAGCGTTGTCAAACAGGTATCTAACGGTCATCATACCCGTATGATACGGTCATTATACGTGTTGCTTACCGGCTTAGAAGACGGTTGATTCATTACAGTGGTCAAGGTAGACCTTGTTGTGTTATTTTCTGTGTCTGATATGGTCCTAGCACGGTCATGGTTTGGTACGGTATAGTGGGCACAGACCTTGAAGTTGACTTTTTCAAAAAAATTCGGTTATAGAATATATAATTATCTTTTCGCCAATATGATACAACTGCCAATTATTTTCAAAATGACGGCGTAGGAGTCGTTTTCTCCAGACTCAATATGGCGGCACTATGACGTCATCTATGGAAATATTGTCAAAATTAATGTAGTGACAAACAAAAGTCGAAATTTGATTTGTTCTTATACTACAAAAATATGTCAAAGTTACTATACATTTCATTTTTCAGTCTGAGTGAAAAAGTGCAAGTTTCAAATCTACTCCATCTCATTGTGAGATAATAACTACTCACTCATTTTTTCACTAGAACAGAAAACTGAAACGTACAGTATCTTCAACATGTTTTCTCATCAAAGAAGTTATACCTCAATGTTACGAGTTTAATGAATACTACTTTCCATTAAGATAATTGAAGTAAAAATAGTATTTAAAAAATAATTAAAAACTCTGTGAATTGAATAAAAATTTTGTTCCTTGAATTTTTTCATGAAAACTAAACAAATTTCATCTTTTGTTTCCCATTACACCAAGTTGTTAGAGAATATTGCCATATTGTGATATTGAATTTGGAAATAATGGCTTTCGTGGGGATATTTTGAATGAAAATTTCAATCAATTACCAAACTGAAGTTTCTACTCAACTTGGATTACAACTCTGGAATATTATTCTCCTTAACATAGCACAAATAATAAATAACACTTTAAAATTGGATTATCCTCTAGTTAGTGAATTCATTCACTAACATTTCAATTATACTGCTGTCTTCTCCTAGCTCTCTGCTTGTCAAACCTCAACTCCATCTCCTCTAAAACCTTTGGTGTATAACGAACAACCAATTTAACTGATCCATGTGCCTGCTTCAGAAGCTCAACGGCTTTCTCATGATTCTCGCCATCTACAGACTGAAAGCATAATAATATATTTATACTACAACAAAAAAAATATGCAAGTTCAATTGAAAATTTTTCAAAAAATTTGAGCAACTGGATAAAACGAATATTTACCAAATCCTCACTTCAGTTAAGAACTTTGATACCCACCACTCCATTCACACTGAGAAGTTGATCTCCTCTCTTGAGTCCTCCATGTCTATCTGCCACCCCTCCTGGAATTATTCTCGAAATGTAAATAGGAGAGTTTTGTTCTTTTCCACCCATAACATTGAAACCCAGACCTTCGTCGGTCTTTGGTAGTTCTACTACTCTGGGATGTGCATGTCCTTCACTGGCTGCGAAGGCAGCCACGGTTGCTTTAGCAGTGGCGGAGGCTCTAACATCTTGGGACCCTTGGATATCGACAGTTTCATACACATGCTCATACACCTCACGAACAGCATTCAAGAAATCACTCTGTAAAACTTTCTGAAGAGCAGCCAGCTTTGTCGCAGGTACCTCTCCACTTTTTTGCAATTTCTCTAAGAGTTCTATGGATCTTTTTATGTCTACAATGTTGATAATTAGGATACATGCTGTTTAATAAAATATCTTACCTCTTGATAAAGTTAATGGTTCCCCTATTTGGGCCATTTTTATGTGTCTTTCAGATATGGTGGATATTTTGAATTCTCCTCAAAAATATTGAAACTAGAATCAAGAAATTTTGATAAGTACCCAACCTTATCAGCCTATTAAGCCACCGAATAGAATATAGACTACCAGTATAAAATTACCAACAGTACTCTTACCAAGCAATAAGCAGTTAGTTGATTCCTCGATGACACAGAACACCTGATTTCGACGTAGGACATTTGGAAATTTGATGTTGACATATTATCGGTTTTCTTAATTTTTTTCTGGGCCATCATTTTTAGCAGTAAATTGGGAGTGAGGGCGATTTTTTTATATAAAACCTATGAGCAATCGACCTCATTTCGTTTTCATTAACCTACCCTATGTAATATACTTCAAAAATAAATTTCTGAGAAATGTTGGAAACAATGGCTGATTTTAAACTAACAAGAATTAATTTCGTTGTTAAGACAGTATTTGTGACAGAACAGAATAGTTTCTGACGGTAACAGTAAATAATATTCATAAAACATTCAACAAATTCAACATTCAACAAAAAACGTACCCCTGGCTCAACTCCTAGCTGGACAAATGTTTAGTTCTAATTTTTCACAGAGAGGGCTATTCAGTTGTAATTTAAACATTCGGTACTTTCTAATAATTATTGATAATTCATTTAATTGATTGTATTATTCCGTGTTAGGAATATTCCTAACACGGAATATTCCGTGTTAGGAATATCATTCCGTGTTAGGAATCACACGTTAAAAGGTAAGACCTCGTTAATCCTTAGCTCGCACAAGTTTCGACTTCTGAGGGTTGTCGTTCGTAGGGGTGCGACAGCTGGTTAACGGAAAAACAGATTTTAGACAGATTTATTATTGATAATTAATTATGGTTAACTGCAGTAATATTCAATACAATAGTTACAGGAAAAACCTAACTCTTTTACACTCATCCCAATTTTCGCATAAGTATTTTATTGATGAATGGTATGGTATTGTTGTAAATCATGCCCGAAAGAAAATAATGCCGGCTGCCACTGATAACCATAAACCAAACGTGACGTAGCTAAGAGAGCGTGAATGCACGATGTTCCCTACCACTCGAGAAGCAGCGAGAATAATGCTACCGATTTCGATGGAACTTCGGTGGAATTTCTACGGCATTCGATTACGATATTCAAAGGCTAGTCATAAGCATACCGACACAGTCAAGTGGACGTTACGATGCAGTACGCGAAGTGATCTAATAAGGCGATAGACATTCAAATAATAGTTAAGTTTAATTATTCAGTGTAGTCAATTATTGGCCAACCCACGGGGAAAAACGTAATAGTGTATTGTTATCATCGAAATTTTTATTATTATATTTATACACTGGCACCTAGCTTAGATATCTTTTCGGAAATCATTGCTGACCGATGCTTCACTTATTTCCAGTCCCCATGTAGGCTGTTCAAACACCCGTCTGATCAACTAATCGCCTTTCAGGGTAGTAGTTTCAGAAATCAAGTTACAAGAGAATCCTAGCTAAAACCAACTAGCAGAATTTTGTTTCGGTAGAGGTAGGGTGACCACCTTCATACAAATCTGGGGCCTATTAGTGCAATGTTCTTCAAGAAAACTTTTGCAGTGGTACCTGTGAAAAAGCAATGATTATCATTCTTTATTCAGTTGAGATAATGACCATCTGCCCACATGGATGTTTCAATGTTGCTGGGTTGGACAAGCAAATTAATTCTTTTCATTCATTAGAAACTCTCCGATACGCTTTCCAATTTTTGTTCGATTTTGAACGTTTTATATTATTTATACAGTAGGTATGCAAAAATATTGCATTGTATCTAGTTCTGAGGTAAGTTTGAAGTTGCAAGTCCCTTTAACACCTCTATAACTTATTTGCAAATCGATTGCAAAATTTGAACCAAACAGATGAGCGAGTAAAAACGTGGAACAATTTGAAGAAAAAATTCAAAGCGTTTCATAATATTTCACATAACTACAAAACACCCATTTAATTTTCCATGAAATTTGTTTTACTGTCGAGCAGTTTTTATCCCAACACCAAACCGTTATTTCAACACTTCGACATATTTCGATCACCAAGGGATCATCTTCAAGAGGAAGATTGAACTTCCTCTTCATCTTCATCGGGAAGATTGAACTTCCTCTTGAAGATGATCACTTGTTGATCGAAACACGTGTCGAGGTGTTAAAATAACGGTTTGGTGATGGGATAAGAATCTAGTAATATTCATTACTACACCAAAGTTCCAAACAGTGCATCACAAGTATATGAAATGTCAAAAGCTGACAAATTCACTCGTGACGCGAAATTATGGATGAGCAGTATTTCTAAAAAAATCAAACCGAGACAAATATCAAAGTCCCATACCCATACCAGATCAAAAAAACTGACTCTTGACGCGCGTTCCGTTTCAATATCATCAGGAAATG